CTAAGAGTTAATATTTTTTCAAAGACTGACTCCTTAGATTTAGTTGGGTATTATTTTGTGTGCTCCCTGTTACTTATGCATTAATTAGATTTGTTTACCTGTGCATAATTTTTTTCCTAATTTCACAACTGTTGTTGTTTTTGTAATTTGACAATGCAATTTACTGCATGTGTGCTTTCTGGTCCCCAAACAAGAAAGTTAAGGTATAAAGCACTGATCTCTTCACTTCAGGTTGTTAAAGAAAAGATTGGCTGTAACTAATTTCCAATTAATTTGCAGTGGTTACAGGAGAACAAAACAATTGCACCTACTAATTAAAATTTAAACTCTTCCAAGGTGTCATATTTAGGGGTCTCTGGAATGGGTAATTTCCATTTTGGTTCATTGCTGGATGTGTAAAAACTATGTGCTTGACAGCTCTATTAATTTAAAGGCTCAGTGATACCTATTAGTACAAAATGTGAAAAAAATACCATTAATCATTTATTTTAATTTTGCAGCTCTGTCTTTTTCTCAGTATGTTTTAAAATTATGATGACACCATAATATGCACAAATCGGCCTGGGTGAAGGGGAAACGGATCGCACTACTTAGGAAAGATACTGAAGGACATTATTAGAGTTTAATTAATGCCAAATTGATTGAATTTGAGTACATTCTGCACGAAAAAATATTTGAAGGATTTCTTTTCTTGCCCTATTACATTTTTAAAGTTATCCCAAATATTACATTTATCATTAGGCTTACCTTTTTATAGTTCTTCAGTTGAATATATTCTTCTTAAAATATTATAAATAAACCCAAATTGGTCTTTTATTCTTAATTTTGAAATAATCATTGGTTTCAATTTAGAAAAATTTCATTTTGGCTAAAAATAATAATCTGTTATATTTATACTCTTTGATAAGAACTCCAAACCAAAGTAGACAAAAATGTTCCAAAAACATATCAGAACAAAAATTAAATGAGAAAGATGCCAAGTATGCAACACTTTATTCATTTATGTTGATGTGATCCCAAACTTTAAATATATTGCACAGGATAAATTACATGTATCTAGCATAATTTTAAGCTTTTAAGTTATTATCAGTCAAGAGGGCCAGTATTTGCATGTAGTTTAAAACTCCATAGACAAAAGTATGACTGATTCTGTGAATTGGGCTTCCTTCATTTAAAAATAGAAAAGTACCTTCTGGTGGCTACTAAATGCCTTGCATTCATGTTTGAATAATCTGTCCTTTGGGTAGAAGTGGAATCTGCCATGGGACAGAAATGCTGCCAGGTATTTCAAAGCATGGACAAACCACAATAACGTGCAATTTCTTGGTGTCACCCAAGTAGTTCAGAGAGCTTTGTTGTCTCATAGAAAAGAGGTTAGTAAAATGGGAAGTCATACTATGTATGTGTGAGATATATAGTATCACTTGGTGCTTTCAGTGGTCGTACAAAGTAGGGGCTATCAGTATAATTCTTTAGCAAGTTGAAGCTGAGGTTGAAAAACATGACCAGTGACCTTGGTGGGAATCAAACCCCTGAACTGTATCCAAGTTCCATGTCCTTAACTACCTTGTTAGATGAAAGAAACCATACAGGAAATTGTATATGAAATAGTCATTAAGAAAAGTAAAACCAAAGGTAAAATTACTTTGATTATAGTGAGGAAGGGGAATTATTGTGTTCTGTTTTGTTCTACTGTTTTTATTTTTTTATGTGTCCAAAGATTTGATGATGCCCATGAAAAGACAAACAATTACTGGGTTAAAATTGTGGGTATAATTTCTTGGTAAAGAACAATATTAAATATGCATTCAAATGTCTTTGACCTTTGCTAACAACCATCCTAGAATCATAAAAATATTTGGGGATGGAGAACAAAATGTATACCTTAAAAAATATTTCAAATCCAAGTAAAACTATTTCTCCTGTAGTATGGCCAAATAGTTCATTGCTTTCTGGAAAATGTTTTCTCTTTTCCATACATATTTAAAATTCCTGTGAATTTCATCAGCAAGGAAACCTCTTAACCTCCTTTTTTAAAAGACAGATTTTGTTTTAAACCATCACAATGATTTTTCTGAATGTGCTGTTTGATAAAAGACATTAACACTAAACTTGGAAATTGCTATCATTCCAGAAAAGAATGGTTAGAATCATAAAGAAGCTGGAAAGGGATTTCAGAAAATTGTGGCTTCATGGCTTTGCTTTTTCGGCAGTTATGCACCTGAAAAGTTTAGCACACACTTTACCCCATTGTCATATGTCTCCCTTATACTCTTGAATTCAGAATGGCTTCATTATTGAAAGGATACAATCTTATTTCAGAATCAAGCTAGGTAACTTTTAATGTTTCAGATAATTGCTAAATTAAGTTCTCCCTGCAGATATTTTACAGCATTTACTTTGTCCTAAAAAAATCTGCTCATTTTTAATGCATTTGAATAAATCTAGTGATAACAAACTCTTAAAGAGATGAAGCAAGATAAGAAATATTTGGCTAGATATAGGAAGGATATTTTAAAAAGTAGATGCTATCTGCTGAAGAACTTTCTAAGAACTCCAATATTACAAAACTCACTGTAATGCAGAGCAATGAGATCAATTAAAGAAATGATATATTTAAGGCAAATTTCATAAGTTGGTACATTACCATCTGATATATATTCCAATTCAGAATTTTCACAGAATGAATTCTGAATGGTGACACTTAGTAGGAAAAAAATACATTGCAGAAATTTACCACCACTTTTACCCATCTTTCAGCTATTGACTCAATCATGATTTTAAACTAAATTGGTTTTCTTCACTTTATGTTTCATCATTCTAGATTTAATTTTCAATACATGGTTTAATTACAGTAAGGGTCAGCAAAATATCACCAAAGGGTCCAATCTGGCCACCTGCTCAAATTATATAGCCAAAATTTAGAATGGCATTCACATCTTCAAATGATGTGAAATAAATAAATAAATAGATATCAAAAGAAGAGTAATATTACATAATGTGAGCATTACAAGAAATTCAAATTTTAGCTTTTACCATACTGGACTATCATCAACCTTCTTCTTTCACACATATGCTAAGAACGTCGTGGCTCTACAGAATGAGTTGTTGAGTCATCCAGAGAGAGATTACATAGCCCACAAAGCCTACAATGCTTACCAAGTAGCCCTTTATGGAGAATGTTTGCCCACTTCAGAGGTACACAGATATGTACTCAAATTTCTTGCAAAATAGGACTGAAATATAATGCTTTCTATATTTAGAACTAAGATAACATTTTAATAGCTTGCCTACTTTCGATGCAGGCAATTATAATAAACTTCTGCATATACGTCATTAATTTGAGGGTTTCACCCTATTTAATAGAAGAGAAGTAGACCAAGTCAAAATGAGATTGGGGATGCTTAGATTATGAGACTTCTTTCTAGTTTTTCTTCTACCTCTCTGACTACATGTGTTCCTATCCTTTGTAGAATGTCATTCTCCTGCTTCCCCCTAACTGTCGATATGCCCCAGGTACACAGTTTAATGTCTGCTGTTCATATTTAGTATTCTACCCCCAGTAATCACCTCTCAGTGGATGATATTATAACAGGGGGATCAAACACAAATCTATCCCACATCTTATTTTCCCTTTGGAAAGCCAGAGCCACATACCCAAAAGTCCCTCCACATCCCCCTCAGAATGTCACACTCAGCACTGACTTCACCAAAGTCTTGTTTCTCACTCTGCCAAAAGTACCTCTCTCCCTATAAAAAGCATCACCCCACATATAATCAATAAACCCAAACCATGCCAGTCATCATAGAATCTTTCCCTTTCTACCACCCCACACTTCCAATCCATTACCATGTTACATAGACTATGTGTGCCTCCTCTTACACATGCCCGCTACTCTGTTATACTCAACACCCCGTAACTAATATGCAGGCCACTTCTTTTCTGGATTACTGTGTTCACCTTCATCTCATCTTCTTCTGGTCTGGCATCCACTTTTCATCTATGCCGCTGTGATTTAAACTCATATTACCTATGCCATGGTCCTCCCATCATGATCTAAATGGTGTTTTTGATGTACTTATTGTATCTTGCCAATATCTTATGATACAACACATATCACATTCTACTATTGCATATTTGTTATTGTCATTTACCTATAAACTCTGTTTTAAAAGATGAGTCTATTCAACTTGGAATCCCATCAATAAGCTAAAGTAAGCTGGCACCTAATAGATTAACAATAAAGGTAATTAAATAAATTTAGGATTTTTACTCCATTACTTTTCTTTTTCAGTCATCTTTTGGGACTGAGTACAAAAAAAAAAATAAAAAAGGATGGTTGGTCAATCTTATTGGCCTTGGCTTTTAAGAAGAGAAATAAGGGGCTGGGGATTTAGCTCAGTGATACAACACCTGCCTGGCAGGTTCGAGGTCGTGAGTTTGATTCCCGGTACCAGAAAAAAAAAAAAAAAAAGAAGAAAAATAAAATGACAAACAGACCAGGCTTCCCAAGTGTAAGTGTGCAAGCCGGTCACCCAGGATTCTTGTTATGAAAGAGAATCTGTGGGGTTTTCATTTCTATAATAAAGTCAGTGGCATTGTCTTTGGGCCCCACTGGAGAATTAAGACAATGCAGTGCAATAGGAACATCAGCATAGGACATTTTAAAATAAATGATTGAACATTTATGTTGAAAAATATATGCACATTGTAAAAACTAGGGTTACACTGTCAAAAAAAAAAAAATGGTCATCTTCTGTTCCATCATCACTGTGACCTAGTTTTGCCCCTTAGCTGAACCACAACTGTTTCTTCTGATAGTTTACACTATATTTGTAAATAATGTTCCTCACTGTTATTTTTGTTGTGCTAGACTTTTTGTATACTCTACCTAACTGGTGCTGTAGAAAGCTAGTTTTTGTCTACAGCCATATCACCCTGACCACACCCAATCTCACCTGATCTTGGAAGCTAAGTGGGGTCTGGCCTGATTAATAATTGGAAGGGAGAATGCTAGTTTTTTAAAACACTCTTATATTACTCTAATTCTCTTACTAATAATTAACATTTACTGAGTGCATATCATGTGCCAGATAACATCCTAAGCATTTTATGTACATCGATTCATTTAGTCCTTACAAAAAACCCACAAGACATTATATTAAAATCTTTACTGTATTGATGAGGGAAATGAATCACTTGCCCAAATTTCCCAGATAGTAAATGGTGGACTCCAGCAGTCATTATGCTGTTCTGGTTCGGAGAATAATTCTTGACAATTTTATTTACATCAATAAAATGCATAACAATTGAGACTAGAAAAATGCCATCACCTGCAGAACCAGTACTGACCCACAATTTAATTTTCCGTCCATAAAGTTGTTCTACTTTTGTTCTTCCTTCCCTTTGCAAAGTCATCCTTATAAAATTTCTCATTTTTTGTAAAATTTTACTCCATACACTGATTTGTCAATAATCCACACTGCTCTTCTTTTCGGGTGAAAGCCTTTCCCATAGATTTTCCTCCAGATCTCTGCAAATCTGAAGTCTTGGATCTCAGTTCAATACTCTGATTCATTTGTTGCACTGGAGAATATCCAAACATGTTTTAAAAGGTACAGAAGGGGCAACTGTAGATCTTTTGGTGGCTAACGATGTCTTCAGTCTATCCTGGCATTCAAGCATTACTTGGACTGGATGTACATTTCTAGGAAAAATTAACTTTTCCTCTAGAGTTTCAGTGTGTTTTTCCATTGTGCCCCAGAAGTCGTGTTACAGATGCCTGATGCCCTGTTGAATTTCATTTCTCTGTGAGTGACCTGCTTTTCCTCTATGAGGACAGTTAAAGTCTTCTTTGTAAATTTTAACCTGGGCCAAGCAGACATAGACATTTGTTATTAAGAGAAAAGTGATTCTGGGGGACAAAATGCAGCACAAAGGTACAGAGATGGGAATTAACAAAAGGAGCTTGGAACACCTGAGAGTCATCTCTCAAACCTAGCTCTGGCTCTTACCAACAGGTGTGATGCAGGTTACAGACCTAAGTGTTTTTTTGGCTCTGGAATGAAATAAGGATGTTGACACTACCTCCCAAGATTGCTAGGAAGATGAAATTAGATATTACAAAAATCATTCGAGAAGTTATTTTGATAGCTGGTGTATTCGTCAGCTTTCCATCATGTGACAAAATAACTGAGATAATCAACTTATAAGGAAGACATGTTTATCTTGGCTAATGTTTTCAGAGTTACCAGGACATAGTTCCTTGACCTTGTTGCTTGGGCTCTGTGGTGGATACATACATCAAGGCAGAAGCACATGATGGGAAATCCCTGTTCATATTACGGCAGCCCAGAAGCAAAAAGAGAGACAGAGGGGCTATGATTGCAATATATCCTTAAGGCCACACCTCCATTGACCTAACTTCCTTCCCTAGCCACATCTCATGAAAGTTTGGCCACCTCCCAGTCACACTGCAGACTGGCATCCAAGCTTTTGGCAGAGAGGACTTTGGGGCTGATCCAGATCCAAACCATAGCAGTAGGGATAACTCCTTAAAAAGAGTAAATTCATTCTTTCCTAATTTTGTCAGAATGATTTGTTAAGCCTTTAAATAAGTAGAAATGGGAAAGAGTACCGAATAAGGTGTTTGGATAGCGTGAGGGAGAGCAGCTCTACTTTTCATGGTAAAGAGTGGTGGAAATGTTTAATGCTGGGAAACAGGGAATGCAGAAAAAATTGCCAATGAGCTAAACCAAATACTGTGGGAAAACTAATTGGTCAAGACTCACCTCCTTTCACTACTGCTTTAATTGAGCTGAAGAAAGTCTTGGTAAAGAGCACTTGTATCTACTATGAATAAACAGTTTTACATATGGTATGAGATATAAATCCCCTCTGATATCCCTTTTGTGAAATCGTACTTTAATTCTATACTTTTCTGCAAATTTCTATGTAATTGGCTGGTTATTGAGACAAGCTCGAAGAGGTGGATGAGTAATGTGTGTAAAGCATTTAACATAAAAGCCCTGTACACAAGACCCAAACATATCTTGCTTTTATTCAGTTTAAATTAAAAAATAACAATTGAGTGTGTTTATGCTAACATTCTTAATATTACAATTATAAATTAAAGCTATCACAGTGTGCAAACTTAAAAATTTGGTAAAAACAAACTATGCTTTGTTCCTACTGAACAGTTATAAAACCGACAGTAAAATCAAGGTTTTTCATCTTCATAATTTTAAAGGTAGCCAATCTTAATTTGAAATAGGAAGACAGAAAGAGAAAGAGTCATGGGCCAGTGAAACTGCCTTTCCTCTGTCAGAATCACTTTTCAAAAAAATAGGTGATCAGTAGGATGTAGAGCACTGATTGAAGACACCATTCTATTTATGGCAATATATTTCTTGCATTTTAAAAACAGTGCTCTTCTACCCTCGTACAGTGGTTCTGCTTTCATACTTAATGAAATCATGCCGCAAGGTGATGTACACCAAGAGGCTGGATACACGTCAGAAACTTGTAAATAAGTTTCCTCCATTTAATCTCCTCTGCTCAAAAGGCAAATATAGCCAATTTTATCTCATTTCCATAAACAACAGAGAAAAAGAATATGCACTTAAATGTTTATATGAAGTTAAACTGTGCATTATAGCATAACTTAGGGTCCTACTATATCAAGGACTATGAAAGAGATACTGTACTATTTCTAAAGGAGCAAGAGTATGTAATTCCCTTTAAAGAAAGTTGTCCAAGATAAAGGTGGTTATGAGAAAACAAAAGTCATATACTTAAAAAATACACAAAGAATATGCAAAATCTCAAAATAACAATTACATGATACTTTAGTTATAGTTTTAGTCATAAACTGATACTCATTTTATGTACATGAATATAAAAATTTTCTCCCAAAGTCTTAACAACAAATTATCTAATTATCTAACAAATTATCTAATTTTCCAAAATATGCTAAAACTATTGTATATGTTAAAGGAGTTCAGCAAATGTGAATCAGAAATCTGTCATTTTTTATGGTGCTTCTTTTGAATGGAAGGTTATCAAGGAAGTAATATGTGATAATTGTTTCCCCAAGTACTCATTTAAAAATGACATTGTTTGGTAAAATGATCCATTTTCATTTTCAGCACTAAAAAGCATAGTACATTTCTGCTTAGCCTCTTTTTTCAACATGCAAGAGGGTACTGAAGGAGTGTCTTTAATTTCTCTTTCCTACTAGATCATAATTTCTTGGGGCAGAGACTGTGTGTTGTCCACTTATTCTAAGTTCCTGGACTATGTCTGAATTATGGTAGGGGTTGAATAGATGTTATGAAATGATTGAACGGTGAGTGATCTTGTCCATAGCTAGAATTCAGAGGAATTTGAAAATCAATGACTTAAAATTCAGTGTAGTCCAAAACTGAATTATTAAGAGGGAAATTCTAGTAAAAACCATTTTCAATCCACATACACAGGTGCATTTTGATATCTTAACTGTCTGGTTATCAACTCCCCAGTTCATAAGATAACAAAAATAAAATAAAGTCAGATATCTAGAGAGTTTGTGGCTGGCTCAGCCTAGTGACATTTTACAAGTACAATTTGTTTTTATAGTGAAAGAAGAATACCGAATCTCTCCACTATCACCTGATTCCAACAGACTTAAATAAAGTTATCCATTCTTTCAAAGTGTTTTATACATTCTGTCTTTCTAGACTCTGGAGAAAATTTCCATTTCCCAAAAGCCCTGATGCTGATTTTAATGATTTTGTTCACGTGACAAACATTCTTTTTTCATTGCTATTAGTGAATGACAAGTGAAGGATATTCATTTCAAATTGAAAATGTCAGGTATGCACTTTAAGAGATATATTTTTTGCAGCTTTTAATGAGGTGCTGTTTCTTTTTGAAAGAAACACTCATCTCTGATGCGGATGCTGTGCAGGTGACAACTGATATTTAATAAGTGATGGTTCTTGTATTAGTCGCAGTTCACTAAAGAAAATGTCTCATATTGCTTTTGAAAAACTCTTAGCATCACTAGCCCAAAGGCAAGATGTGACCTTTTTATTACATAATGAGAATCATTTATTATCTTACAATGTATCTTAAAGTCACAGACAAAATGCCACTTTGATAATTGCTTTCAATTAGCTTTGAGCATAGCATATATTCATAAAATGTCTTCTCTAATTTAGAGTTGAATTAGAGAAAATTGCAGACATAATCTACTTTAAGGTTGTCTCATTTAAGGTGATTCGTAGTTTTATATCAAAGAAATCAAAACGAGTAGCTTTAGAACAGTCTCTCCAAGTGTTTAAAGGAGGCTTTTCAATATTTAATTTTATTCTATTACCAATTAATTAACAAATTAGAAAGCTAGTTCATCATTTATGACCTTTTATGCATGTTAACTTTTGACTTGCGCTCTTAATGATTGTTTTAAAATTAAGCTTACAGTTCGTGTGGAAAGGGAGAAACAATCTGATTAGCAAGATAAATAAGGCTTGCTTCATACTAAGTACATCTTAATGTGGGGCCATAACTGGAACTCTAAATCCTGTAATGGCACATCTTTTCCTGCTTTCAATAAATAAAACATAACTAAAAGTCAAGAAATTAAACTGGATAATTGCGTAGCCTAAATAAAGAGTTTGGAGATATTATAGTACTGCAAGGGAAGTTAGAGATAACATGATGTTTAAAATGTGACTTCAGCTGACTTGTATTTTCGTTAATATCCTTAGCACTGGAATATTATTTAAATGCTTATCTTTATCTCTCTTAGAAATGTTTTTAAGTAATGAAACCCTGAAACTGCATTGTGTTCATGTGGTGCTTCAATAATCCACAAAATATTATTATTCCTAACAAAGATTCACAGAAATTGCTTCATGGCTGGAGATTACTCTTTCTCTCTCTTTTTCCTAGATAAAAATTACACACAAGAACCAAGCTCCAATGCTGATGGGCCCTCCTCCAAAATCCGGGTTATTCTGCTCCCTGGTCAAAAGAACAAGAACCCGAAGCAAAGAATAATCCACTGCGTTTCATTCATAGAAATCTGATTAGCGTAATTGGGCCATAGAACACTTGTGTTGGAAATCTTTGAACCATTTCAAGTCTCCTGCTCATGCAAAATCATGGAATTGGTTTCACAGTTTTTGTTACTGAGCTAATGTGAAATTCAGCTGTTAGAAAACTTTTTGTCTCAGTTTTTATAGGCAGTTTGCATGAAGAAAGCAAAAGTTTACATGAAGTGATACTGCATATTTTTGTTGCATGCATTCCCATAGATTTTTATGTCTCCCACCCACATCTTACCCAGTTCCCATTTACTAAACTGTGAGAAAAACCTGAAGAACACAGAAAAGGAAATACCATGGGAAATGTTTCAGTGTGATTCCAATTATTAATAAGCACTAATCAGTAATGGAACTATCATGATTGCAGATAGCTGTACTTTCCCTTTTAGAATCGGTGTATCAACGATCCTTGGTCTATGACTCCAGGATAAATTTTAACTCAAAGATTTTATTAAATAGTTGTCTACAATACATTGCTATATATAAATACTTTTTCTTCAACCTCTAGATTCTTCTGAGTAGAAATTTAAATACCAGGTAGAGACTCTGTTGTGCTGAAAAATAGAAAATGGTTTTTATTTTGTTGAGTTTGGTTTTTAAAACCAAAAACTGAGTGAAAATATGTTACTTGACAGTAAAGTATGATGTTAAACAAGCCTTATTCCTTTTTGCATGAGAATCTAGAAGAAAATTCACAATCATACCGGTAACCAAATAGATGTTTTAAACTATGTGCCTAATTAATGTGTTTCCCACCAAAGATTCAGGAAAAGATGCTTG